CGCACAACACAAGCCAACATACACACACAGGATAGAGACATGACTACAACATGCGCACACCACAGGCACACCATGCAGGTAATTTTCGCACTACAGCACCGCGCGCGCCTACACACGTTGATACGGCGCACAGACAAGCACACAACGACACACACACACACACACAACAACACACACGACACACACCACAACACCACATAACCACAGAGAGAGACGATACTCAACATGCGCACACGACAGATGGTCCCGCGCGTTGGTTTCCACCAGGCTGGACACGTTTGAAGGGCTATGGGTTGTTTGCCCGGAAACGAAAGCCCTACTACCTTGTGGAAATTAATACAAAGTGCTGTGCCGCAGAAGAATGGACGGAGAGAGTAGGTACCCGGCATGTAAGTCCAAAAAAGACGCTCCAGAGCGCTCCACGCCTGTCACGAAAACGCCGTCCCGAGTCAGCCAGCGAGAGAGCACTATTAACTCTCAGTACACACTCTATTGCAGAGTATTTTCATAGCGTAACACAAAACACTAATTCTACGCGCAAGATTTATTACTTTTAGACTGCGTAATCTAATGACAGACGAGTTTACCTGGGTATATCCCGCTCACGAGGACACACATGACACACGCCCACATACAACAAGAGTCCGACAGCAACAGGGGCACACGGCAGTATTATTCCATTCAGTTTCATCAGCCCAGCACGACTGGTGTTGTTCAGGCGTGATGCACCCCAGCTATACTATTGTTCGCATTGAATAAACGGCTTTTTTCTCCTAGAGGAGTTCACACTGTTTGATAATGTGGAACACTCCTCCATGTTAGATGATTTTCAAACACGGTTTCGTGTACATTTTCCACGTTATTTAATATAACACCCGTGCGTGCGTGCCTGTACTTGCGTTCTTGTGAGTGCGTTCGTTCGTGCGTGCGTGAGTGAGTGAGTGAGTGAGTGAGTGAGTGAGTAAGTGAATGAGTGTGTGCGTGTGTGCGTTCGTACGTGCGTGCGTGCGTGAGTGCGTACATGCGTGTGTGCGTGCGTGCGTGCGTGCGTTCGTGCGTGTGTGCGTGCGTGTGTGTGTGTTTATACGTGCGTGCGCGGGAGGTATATATATATATGACACGAACGAGTAGAGAGTCCGCTCACCTTCTTTGACCTGATAGTACACGAACGAGTAGAGAGTCCGCTCACCTTCCTTGACCTGATAGCAGAGTATGTGTCTGACTAGACTGCAGTCCTCGTACGCGCTATTCGTCCAGTCTGCGAACATGACCAACTCCACATACATCACAGCGCATTAACGATGCATGGAACGCCGATAGAAGAATCCAAAACTAACTATTCATTCATTAACTAAGAATTAATTTAAATCATTATATTAAAATATGTAATTTTGTGTTTTATAACTCATTAATATTTATTACCAATTGTATATTGCGAGAGTAACGCTAGGTAAAATGAGTAATAGCAGAAATATGCTAACTGTGTTTTCCATAACGGGGGAACGAGCAGCGGCAGCGCTTGCTGGCGTATAGGCTTCGGCATCTCTCCAAACATTCTAGTTTGCGGTAAGTTGGGGGGTTGGGGCATCCGCCGCCGGTCGGTGTTCCTTGGTTGTAGATCTAGAAACAGACATAGCGGGTCGTCATGGCAACACGGCAAGCAGCGAGGTGGCGTTGCACACACACCCACTAACTCGCCGACATGATTTCCCTTTAACATGATTCACTGCAAACTATACAGATTCTATAACATACGAGTATAAATGCAGATAATAATATATTAATATTACATTGTATGATAAAAGGAACGTGAGTGATAATTTAGACATTATAATGTGTCGGGTATATTTGCTGCAGCGCTGATCAATCAAACTAGCTGATGCAACATAGCACAATAGCTTTACAGACGGATACATCCAAAGAAGCGGTTTTCCATGCCATCACACACACACACACACACACACACACACACACACACACACACACACACACACACACACACACACACGGCAGGTGCAGAATAAAACGCAGAATAAAACTCCAAAGTTTTCTGTTATGGTAAACTACGTTTTTATCAAATTATACAGGTTTCATTTAACAGTGTGATGTTACAACTTTCATTTACAGTATATTTGATTTTGACTTACGATAGTTAGGTCCTACTTCCCACCTCAGACTGGATATTTATAGTCACGATTTTCTTACCAACCTTTAATATAATTTGATGTAAACACATGAGATTTAAAATTATTATCTTTCAAATAAATCGAAGAATTTAAACATGCAGACTAATTAGGTCTCAGATATTAGCGGCCATTTTACCGAATACTCCAGAATAAAAATTACTACTGAGTTTGTGCTGAAGCTGATATAGAATAGCAAATAACATGGTTAACGTCGTCACATTCTCCTTGTAAATGATGCCACGAGCCTAAGACCTCGACTGGTGCCGTCTTTCTATTAATTTATACACGTTACCATTAACAAAGTCCAGGAAGGTAACATCCCAGTTGGCCTATTCCCATTTCGCCTACACCCATTTCACCTACGTCCCATTTCGTCTACTCTCAAAATCGGCAATATATTCCCATTTTGCCTAGTAGGCCTACTCCCACTGTTTCATTTTTATGCTACTGTATTTTCTATTTTTGTCAAGTTGTGTTCTCATTATTTGTACCTATATTTCCTTCTGGCTCGTTCCTGTTGTCTATGTATGCGAATCAAAACCACATTTTATTATTTATAAATGATTATTTAGCGAACAAACCGATCGTAGACGAAATGGGAATGGGGTAGATTTTTAGCGTAGACGAATTGGGAGAAGGCGAAATGGGTGTAGGTCAACTGGGAATTTTGCTGCAGGCGAAATGGGAATTTTGCCATAGGCCAAATGGGAGTAGGCCAACCGGGAATAAACCTTCTATAGGAACAGAGTAACAAATAACCGGTACCAGAACTACAAGAACGCAATTTCAATCGCTGCATATATTATTGAAAGTAACGACGTATGAGTGTTCTAAGACATGTTAGTCTTACTGTAGACACTTTCTGTTGGGGAAGCAATAACGATAAGTATAGACTATTATTGAAAAGAACGATGTACGCGTGATGCGCTCTATGCTATAAGGCGTGTTAACAGCGAGGCTTCCCTCATCTAGCCATACATGCACACCCAACCCGCACACCCAACCCACACACCCAACCCGCACAGCCGCACGATAGAAAGAGGGAGAGAGAGAGAGAGAGCGAGAGAGAGAGAGAGAGAAAGAGAGAGAGTGAGACACACACA